TGTTTAGATCCGTGTCTGATAGGTGTTACCAGCACTCAGGTGAGAAGTGCACACAGCTCTGGTCTGTATTTCCCTGTGCAAGGGAAATCCCTTGGCTCTCCAGTTTCCTCGCTGTGGAAAGGGACACCTGTTTCCTTGGACAATGCCAGTCAGGCCGAGCAAGCTCAGCCCCTCTCTGTCTGCCTCTCCTAAATCGTAGAATACTTTGTGTAAAAAGGGATCTTTAAAGGTCATCTAACCCAATCCCTGTGAAATCAACAGGGGAATCTTCAACTAGATCAGGTTGCTCAGATCCCCATCCAGCCTGACCTTAAATGTTTTCAGGGACTGGGCACCCACCACCTCTCTGGGCAGCCTGTTCCAGTGTTTCTCCACCCACATTGTAAAAAATCTTCCTTATATCTAATCTGAATCGACCTTTCTTCAGTTTATACCATTACTTCTTGCCCTATCACAAAGGCCCTGCTAAAAAGATTGTCCCCATCTTTCTCTAGGCCCCCTTCGAATACTGGAAGGCTGCCATGAGGTCTCCCCAGAGCCTTCTCTTCTTTGGTCTAACAGCCCCAACTCTCTCAGCCCATCTTCACAGGAGACACGATCAGCCCTCTGATCATCTTTGTCTCCTCCTCTGGACTCATTCCAACAGATCCAGATCCTTCTTATTTTGGGGGCCCAGAGCTGGCCACCCAGCCATGTTTTGGCTGCTCCTGGGGGTGGGTGAGGGGAGCTCCTGCAGGGGTGGTGGGAGGCAGAGGGCTGGCAAGAGGCTGATGCAGTGGGGAGGGTGGTGGTAAAGGCCTCTAAGCTCAACACTTGTCTCTGAAAACTGTCTGTCATCCTTTATCTGACCCCACGTGAACATGCTCAGTGTTCCTTTGGCCAGCTTTATTCCTCCTCCGTCCCTCAATGCTCCCCCCCTGCTCCGACAGGAATCTCCAACGTGGAGCAGGAAAGCTGCCCACCTGTACCTTGAAGACTAATAGGCATGAGGAAGACCTGACAACAGAAGTACTGAGAGGTCACCCAGCTCAGAGCTCTGTGGGAGAGCACTTCTGGCTGGGGAGGTGTTTGTGCCAGCAAGGCAGAAGCCAGAGGTGCCCCTGCAGCTCCCACTGTAAGCTCCTGGTTGCCCCTCACACAGGTAAGGCTCTTCTGTGCCCAGACACAGCTGGTCCAGAGCTCTTGGTGTAGATACAGGTTTGTGATTTCAGGGCCATTTCTGAATTAGAGAAACGAGCCCGAAAAGATTGCCTGAAGTGGCACAGGACCACTTAATTACAGCAGGTGTGGTGTTTTCGTTTAGTCCTCACTGTGTGACAGAAATCCTTCTGCTTACATCACAAGTTGGTTTCCATCAGCCTCTCCAGAGCAGGTGTGGGTGATTTTCATGTCCCAGTTATCACATCATCTCTTTGAGCAACAGATCACTCGGAGCACTTGTCTCTGAATAGGTACTCCAGGATAGGGAGAGGCAGAGCTCCAAATGGTCGCATTTTGCACTCAAGAGCCTGCTAAATGATTAATTAATTTAGTCTCTCAAAGTTCCCTGCTTCCTGGCAAAGCCAGAGTGTGTGTTGCTACAGGCCTCAGTCTTGCTCACCTTGGAATCACAAGTTTTGGCAAGGGCTTTGACATCCAGTAAGGTGGAGATCAGTGCACACAGAAAGGACGTGTGGGGCTGGTACCTAGAACAGTTTTCTTTAGACCTCGGAGTCCCAGCTCCTTGAGGTGGAACCATTAGCACAGCCAAGTGCTCAGGATTCCTGAGAAAGTACAACTACTTAAATTAGTAAACCCACAGTGCACATGGAGTCTAGTGCAGCTGATTTACAGAGACTGCAGTGTGCATCCCCGGCAGCCAGAACCACCTGATCCTACCTGGAACCTCCACCTTTGCAGAACTGAGCTGCCAAGGCTTGGAGAGCACTTGGTCTCATGCATAAATAGGCCTTCACCTCATGGACAGAGTGACAGAACTTGTGTGGGTAGCAAGCTCTGAGCTTAAGGTATGTTTTAAGTAGTACTGGAGGAGTGAAATGGTGAAATGTGTTTGGGGTTTTTTTGTTAATTTTTAATCTTTTTTCTTTTTTCCCCCTTTAAATAGAAATATATTTTCATATTTATATCAATTTTTGTCCTTGCTTCTCAGAAGAGAGATCTGGGGCTGCCTTCTGCTCAAGTCAGAATGGTGCCTGAGTGCAAAATTTCACTCCCCAGTTTCAGTAAAACGCAACCTAGGCTGGTTTTTGTGAATAGTTTTAAAAGGAAAGCTTCTGCAGCAGAGCTCTGAAATCAAGATGTCTCCATGGACAGTCAGTCATCCTGATGAGAAACACTTCTTAATTAAGCAAAGATGCTGCATTGTAGCTGAAACAATTCCTAAGTGTCCCAACTTCCCTCATCACATCAATGACTCTGGAGTTAAAAAGCTCCCAACAACAAGGGGTTTTAGAGGATTTCAAGAGAATTATAAGTCTAACAATTCAACACTTGAACATGTTCAGCATGCAGAGAACACATTTCAAAATGTGTTTGAAGAGCAGAAGCATAGTTTTGTACTACTTCAAAGATCTTTGAAAGGCAGAGTATGGATAGCATCCCAAGTATTGCTGTGGAGATCTGAGATCCACACACTTCTGTGAAAAGCTCAACTTCACTTGCAAGCAAATCAATTAAGAAGCAGCCCTTGCAGCCAAGCTTAACTGATTTCCCGTTTGAGCATCTCAATTACACCGATTTCATGATTAAGCTTGTTCAGATTAATGGGAAAACCAAAAAGAACCCACGGTCAAAATATTGGACAAACAGTTTAGGTTAATGAGCAACGACGCTGGTGTTTGTGAAGCAGCTGGTAGGGAGAGCCTGGGAGGAGAAAAGGAAAACAGCTGCCTGCAGATAAGCACTAAATTCAAGCACAGGAGCAAAGTGAAGGGGAACATGCTGGTGTGCTTTTAACACATCAAGTGGCAACACAAAAGTGCTGCATGAATATTGATCATCTCACTCAGCTGATTAGTACCTCTAGGTTATGTCAGCCTTTTCCAGGTCTAGTCCTTCCTAGAAACATAAAAAAAGAAAAGAAGAAGGAAAAGGAACAAACATCTTAAGTGATGTGTTTCTTGGGAACTAACAGCAATACTGGCCACATTATTTCATTCTTTTTTTTTGGCCAGTCTGTTCTCTGACTCCAAGCTCTCAGTGGTACATACCCTGCTCTTTTTAAGGCTGTGGTCTAGACTGGACTAACAGAGTTTAAAATGAAGTCTGTCATTTAAGAAGCATGGATCCCCTTAAGGATCCTGGAGCATGAGAACACTCGGCACAGCTGTATTAATTCAGACTCTTGGGGAGAAGGTGGCAATAGAGTGAGACCAAATGACTGAAACCAGATCTACTGCCAATGGAGCACGAAGCTGTGCCCTTTGTGGTAGCAGTTCGTGGCCAGAGGAGGTGTGGATGTACCCACATTGCTCAGCCAGCAATTCCAGTCACATTCTGGTCATAGCCTGCTCGTTCCCCCGGGATCCCGTGTTCTTCACGCTGGGCATTCTCTTTGCCCTAAGTGATCTCCCCCATTTGGGAGCTCACCTCTGTGGGAGAGCTCATTGTTACCACCAGGCCTTATGTGAGGTGCTGAAAATAAAAACCCCGCAGCACAACAGATTTGATCTCTCCGTTTTCTTGCCTGAGGCACACTGTGGTTTCTTCCCGTTTGTCTCTGTGGGTGGAACAGGCATTTCAGTATACACTGCCACGTTCATTACAGGGAGTTCTTCCTGCTAGAGATATTAACATCTTTGTTATTACTGCCAGTTCTCTCCTCCCCCGTACCAAGCGGTCGCCTGAGCTAGAAATTCCTTTTAAGGACAGACTCCCAGTAGTAGTGTTCTCCTCCTCAAAGTGGGGAAGATCTCTTCAAAGGTCAGTTCCTTCTGCTTTCTCAGAATCCTGCCTCCCCCATATTCCCTAGAAAGTCATTATTAAAATTGTCAAAACCCCTCATAAAAATATCACAGAAATTCTAGAAATCAGTTTCATGATTACCTCTTTGTAATCATTAACAACTCCTAACCATAGCGTTCAAATTAAAAAGTTTTATGCAAGAAAAAATGTTTAACATTTAATATAAAATCAAAGTTTGACATAGCTTACTTTTCCAAATGTCATCCTTTTTCTGTTCATCACCTGACAATTAAAAGACCACAATTAAAAAAGTCATTCTATATACTTTTAAAAGCCATATAAAAACATTCATAAAGTGTCATCCACAAAAGCACCTAAACAAGAATTTGAGAGAAATACATAATTAGGATGTTCATTTACTTAATTGCCGCTGAGGACTAAGCCGTCAGACAGCAGTGTAATTTAAAAATGATACAACCCAGCAACCCCATTCCATAGATGTGGCCCCAAAACAGCATCAGCTGGGCCCACAACACGTACACAGAGGCACCCAGCACACTGTTGTGGGGGTTTCAAATAAATAAATCCTAACACCATCTAAAACCAAGTCTACCAGCAAGTGGGAGATGTAGGTTCTGTGGGAAGCAGTCATCCCAGGCTGTGGCCTCACCGTGAGGGAAAACCCAGCCAGTTTGTACAGAAAAAATGGCACAAACTATAGGTGGGGTTAACTGGGATAAAAAACACTCCCCACTAGAAACAGCAGAAAGAGGGACTGATCCTTGGAACGACTCTGTGTTCTCCCTGAATGCCCTTGAACACACCATACCATGTAAGTACCTTTCTGTTCCTCATCCCTAAAAGAGGGGCTTCAGGACAACCACCAACACACAATGAACATGCACTAGTTCTTCGCTCGAGCATCTGGGCAGCGCTTGCTGCTCACAAACAGATTTACCCAGAAGCACGGGGGACAGGCTCCAAGGGTTTTCTCCCCCAAAATTCACACCCCGCACGAGACGTCCAGAGAGCAGCTTTACACCTTCCCAGCACCAGGAAGCTTCCCATGGCCCACACAGCTTTCTCCTCTCCCCCAGCTACCCTGTGTGGTGCTTTTGGTGGCGCACCAGCTGGGGCTGGAAGGGGAATCTCTGCCCGCACGGGGAGCAGCGGAAGGGCCACTCCCCGCTGTGGATGCAGCTGTGCTTGATGGGGTTGGAGTTGCCGCTGAAGCCGCAGCTGCACTGGCTGCACTTGTAGGGCCTCTCCCCAGTACGGGTGTGGTTGACGAGGTCGGAGCTCTGCCCAAAGCACTTCCCGCACTGCCCGCAGGCGTAGGGCCGGATGCTGGCGTGGGCCCGCTGGTGCTGCAGGAGGTGGGAGCACTGGCTGAAGCTCTTCCCCCAGGCCGGGCACTGGTGGGGCCGCTCGCCCGAGTGCAGCCGCCGGTGTTTGGTGCAGGTGGAGCTGTCGCTGAAGAACTTCCCGCGCTCGCTGCACACGTACGGCTTGAGCCCGCTGTGGACCCGCCGGTGCTTCAGGAGGTTGGAGCTCTGGCTGAAGCTCTTCCCACACTCGGCACAGGTGTAGGGTTTCTGGCCCGTGTGGACTCGCCGGTGCTGGACGAGGTGGGAGCTCTGGCTGAAGCCCTTGCCGCAGTCCCTGCACAGGAAGGGGTGCTCCCCGCTGTGCGTCCGCTGGTGCTGGACGAGGTGGATGCTCCGAGTGAAGCCCTTGCCACACTCGGGGCAGATGCTGGGACGCTCCACACGAGGGACTTGCCGTGATGCTGCTGCTGCTGCCATCCTTCTCTCCCGCCTTTTCACCAGGGTGATACCAGAACAAGTCAGCTCAACCTCCTCTTCCTCCTCATATCCGCCTTGCTGAGCCTCTGGGGAACCATGCTGACTTCCATGGCTGTCCCCAAACCGTTCCTCTCCTCCTCTGGTCCCCACTGCCAGTACATCCTGCAGATACGCGCTTGCAAGGGGATCTGGAAGGGGCCCTAGGTCACCACCTGGAAAAAAGTACGACTCAGTGACTCCTGCTGGGAAGTGGCACAGCAGAGAATCTGCTGTTATTCTGGGGAGCCTGGTCTGCACTGTGGAGGAGAAGCAGTAAAGGGAACACCGGGAGCAAATAGAAACCCAACTTCAGGAAAGGCTCTATGACCTTGCCATGCAGCAGAGCAGAGGTGCCATGCACAGCAGAGCCAAGGGCAATGCTACTGGAGTCTCCTTGTCCCCAAGAACTCTTCACATGTTGTCTTCTTAATATTCTCCCTTCCTAAACACACCCTTAGCCGCAGGCTGGCAAAGGCAAGCAGGCTGCCTGCCCTGAGGGGGAAACAGCAAGTCTCAATGTGAGCTGCACGAAATAAAGTGGCTTAAATAGCACTGAGGCATCTCAAAGAGCATTTCACTTGCTCTGTGTTTATAAACTTACAGAACTTGTTCCTCACCCATGTGTGTCTCCTCCAAGGCCTCATGGTCTTGTTCTTCTTCTTGGTCCATCTGTGCAGTTACGTCAGGTTCATCAATCAGGAACCTTTCCTACAGGAGCAAACAAAAGCCATCTTAGTTGAATATTCAGCAGGAGATTGTCATATGTCTTAAAATCTACTGCCCCTGCTGAATATTGGGATCCAGCAGAGTGGTTCCATAAAAGAATGGAGTCAACTAAACACCAAACATTTACGGACATCCTGTGCACTACTAAGGCATCTGGTGTCAGATATTTTCCTTAAAGGGGACTCAGGGCTGCCCCTTTTCTAATAACTGATACACATTAGGACATGGACCAGATGTGCTGGACTCAGAACTGGTTGACAGCAATCACAGAAACAAGTGTAAGCAAAGAGAAAAACCCAGCCATACTTACACTTCTTTAATAATGACAGCCAAAACACTTACTATTCTCCTAAGAGTATCTTAAATACGAAATTACTTTTCAGACACCAGAACCTGATTTTCTTACTTGCTACCTCACCTCTTCTTTCTCCTCTAAGATTCTCAGGCCTGGGCAGAAAGACCCAACAAAAAAGCAATTTGATGTCTTGTCTACTCTGGCTGGATTCTCTCAGTTGCCAGCCTGGCATTCCTGCTGAGCTCCAACAACCACCAGGAATGCAACTCTCGGGCAGGGTGCTCTTAGGAATGCCATCAGCACCCAAGACAAGAATTTTTCCATCAGTATTTATTATTTCGAGGCCAAAATCAGACAAACAGCAAGTAACAGCAGTTAGCAGTTGCTGCAGAAAAAAGGGCAGAAGAACAGGGAAAATATAATGGTAAGAAAAATCCCACTTTATTTTAAAAAGATGGCAGGGAAGGGATACCACAGGGATGAATCTATAACCAGAGAGCCACATGCACCACGGGTAAAGCTGAGATCACATACAGGAATATTTTTAAAGCATTTAAGACATTACTTTCTTTCCCCCCTCTTTATAGATACTCACTACCAGTTTGAATCACTTCAAAGATGCTGTACTCTGCTTCAAGCTACCAATCCCTCTGGACAACCAATACCTCCTGGACAACTACTCAAGCTCCAGATGGCATTGACTGAACTGGATAGATGAGTGCTGGTGCAAATAAACACAGCAAACTGATGGATGCCTGGTGCTGGACTGCTTCATCCACCAACACCAGTTATTTAAGGGATTGGATTGTGTCAGAATCAAGGAGACAGCTCAGATGAATGGAACAGTTTTGGACCTTGAATGCCAGTGACCACAAAACCACCAGTCCTGAAGTCTTTCACCCTGTGTGGCAAAGCTGGACAGAAAGAAAGCGAGCAAGCAAAAGAGAAAGATTGCAGGCTTGACCTGAAGAATCATGAAGAAAAAAATAATCAGATAAGCAAAAAAGAAGCCTTATAAAAACAAACAAACAAACAAACAAACAAAACCCCCCCCAACCCACCCAAAAAAACCCCAAGAAAAAAACCCCCAAACCTTCAAAGTTAATAATCTCAGTCTCTACTTAAAATATTTGTTGAATGCTGAAGTGGACCACCCCTGCAGATGGGTTGTTTCCAAGGCAATAGACAAAGGGAGGCTGCTTTCTGCAGCCCTGCAGCTCTCAGGATTTTGCCACTACCAAGAATTTCTGCTGCAACAGTCTGGCAGAACAACCCAACCAAGCTATTTACATGCTGCAATGTGTACCAGATGGGCCACCCCCGCTCCAGAGCAGGAGGAGTCAGAACCATGTCCACACACAGACCTTTTCCCCCAGGCAACTCCCCACAAACAGAAGGGTTTTGCTCTGGAAGCTGTCAACAAACAGGAACTTTGGAGGAGCAAATCCACCAGCATTTCAGAGGTGGTACCAGCACCTGACAAATGCCCAACGATCACCACCCCGGGAAACATCTAAGCTGGCAGACAAAGTAGAAGGAAGAGTTCCCTTCTGACCCTGCAAAAACTTCCTAGCTTGGGTTGCCACTGACACACTGCTGCTATGCTCAGATTTGCTATGGCAGCTCGGCAGAAAGCAGATAACCTTTGTACAATTAACAGGGTAGTCTGGAGAAAATTTCCATGATCACAGTCATGTCTCTGTGAAAGGAGGGGGCAAACCTCATCAACAGAGGGGAACTTCCAGCAGGGATTTCATCTGTTACTAGCAAAAGCACAGCCTTGGGCGTATGGGGTTATTGCTTGAATGTGGAAACCAAAACAGGAGCGTGTGGATTTACTGCAGGCAACATCCACAGCTTCACTAAAACGAGATATGAAGGATACCCAATTTGGACCTCCACGAGGGGCTTTGCAAACACACCACACTGTTCCTGGGGCCTCGGCTTTAGCATTGTGATAGCTTATTTTTTTGTAGCTGGATCCTACAACGTACGTTCTTTACCTTGGCTACTCATTTTCTCTTCCTAACGCTCAGCTCTGTGTTCCCCCCATGGCTGCACCGAGGTGTGGGGGTTATGGGAGCTCCATCCTTTCAGCTTCTCGTGCTCCTGATGCGCCACCAGCAGCCGAGCGCTCTCCGGGCACAACAGCACAAACTCCAAATTTAGAAGTGATGCCTTAAGGTTCTTCCAGTTTTTTTGTTCTTCTAATTTTTACAAGCTTTATAAGTAGTTATAGAAGTAGATTTTAAAAGCAGCAGCCCTTATTCCTTTACCCTTTAGCACAGTAGTTTACACATTCCTCAACCCCTACATACCCCATTCCATGCTCCCATATCAATATCCCCTGAATTCCAGCAGAAAATGTTTAGTCTCTCTTTAAGAGTAGGCCCTTTTTGTTTAAGGACATTTGTGCCTTGGCCTGAACCGCAAAAGTACAGTCAAGAACTGGGTGACCGTGTACCCCTTGTGCTCTGAAGAAGATGAAGACGATGAAGAAAAGCCCCCAGCCCCAATTCCAAGGGGGTGGGACGGGGGTGGACCAGGGCAAAAGCTACGGGGTGGAAACACTTGGGATTGGACAAGCAATATTATAAATTGTAACACCTGTACACGGCCGGAGCGCCTCTCGTAATCTCTATGCCTCAGAGGCACAAATTAAAATCCTTTCCTTGTCTCACCTCCAAAACTAATTGCCTCGGAGTTTTTTTCTCCCTGAATTTTCTTTGGGCAACAGAAGGCAGCGCTCAAACCTTCCTCTCCCCAACTATTTTTTTTTTGGGGGGGGGGATAGATAACGCTTGCGGTAAAACCAAAAGGGGAAGACTTTTTTTTTTCCTTTTAAATCACAGAAAGCAGTTCACCACGCGGCTGCACGCACTTCTCTCGGGCGCGATGGGAGCCCCCCATCGCCGTCAGGTTTTGTTCCTGAACACAGCGCTCGCCTTCCTCCGTGCCCGGCTGGGGCGCGGGGGGGCGGGATGGGGAGAACACCAAGGAGGGGGAACGCGGGAGGCGGCTTTTGGCAACAAGGAATTCGCACGGGGCAGGGGTGCAAAGGTGGCACGACCGGAGGCAGCGGGTGGGAGCCGGGGCGAGGGAGGCACCCGCTCTGCCGCAGGTGGGAAGGGGCGGGAGGGGGGGAAGCCGCATCATCAGTAAGGGATGCGAGCGCACAGGGACGGCAGCAAAAGGGACACGCCGGCCCTCCCCCTGCTCCGAGCTGCGGTCCTGTCCTGTCCTCCTGCGGCTCCTTCCTCGGCAGGGCCGGCACATAGAGGCCCTGCGGTCAGAGGGGGGGGGTCAGTCCCCGCTCCTACCTGCGGGCGCCGCTCCCGCCCGGCCTCCTGGCTTCCCGATCCGCGGGCAAAGGGCGCTTCCTGGGGGGGGGCAGAGAGCTGGGATACTGCTGGGATAGTCCCGGAATACCCTTCTACCCCCCGGCAGCCCTCCCCGTGCCCCCCCCTGCGGGACCGGGATGGCCGGGAGCGGGGATGGGCAGCCTTTGGAGCTGCCCCTCTTCAGGAGCCTTAAGCCCGGAACCTCTCCCAGGGTGTTGCCCAAAGGCGGGTCCTCGCCCATCCCAGTGGTTCGATGCAGCGCTGTGGGTTTGTGGCCCGCACATGGGTTGTTTGATGTGCTGGAGTTCTTCCCCTCGTGCCCTGGTTTCGGCTGGGACGCGGTTCATTTCTTCTCGGTAGCTGGCACGGTGCTGTCTTATGGGCTCAGAATGAGAAATAACGTTGATAACGCGCTGATGTTCTTGGCTTTTGCTAAGTCGTGGTTTATTGTAATTCAGTGGTTTTTGTGTGTGTGTGTCTCATGCACTGCCAGAGAGAAGGTGCAGAAAAGGAAACTGCGAGGGAGCACAGCTGGGACAGGTGACCCAAGCTGCCCAAAGGGATATTCCACTGGATATTCCCCAGCGTATAAACTGGGCGGAGTTACCCAGAAGGGGGGCTGATCTGGGTTTGGGAAGGAGGTCTGGCGTGTGTCAACAGGTGGTGACCGATTGTACTGTGCATCACTTGTTTGGATTTTTTTTTCCTTTCTCTTTTTATTATCGTTATTACTTACCATTATTATTGCATTTTACTTTGTTTTCAACTATTAAACTGTTCTTGTCTCAGCCTACAAGTTTTACTGTTTTTTCTCCTGCCCATTCCAGCAGGGTGGGGGGCGAGAGAGGGAGGTTAAGCGAGGGGCTGTGTGGTGCTTATTTTCCAGCTGGGCTTAAACCACGACACAGGTGCTGTAAGATCACACTATCAGGCCCAAATTCAGGGCAGAGGGGAAGCAGCTGAAGTGGGGTGTGTAGTACTCGTCAGTGGTAGAAAGCAGGACACACAAAAGCCCACAGCAGCTCCTTCTGAGGATACCGTGCTATGCAAATTTGGAGAATAGATAGGAAGTCACTGTTCTGGAATTGCTTCCTTCATTTGGAGTTTCCCCAGGGGAATGAAATGTACGCATGGTTTTACAACACAGTGCCTGCTCTTCTTAATTTCTCCAGGTATCTCATACCTGAAGGGAAAAAAGGTAGATAACTGTGTGTTTTCATGAAATGTGGTGGGAAATGTGAGAGCTTGGCTTTGTGCTTGAATTCTTCCCTCTCTGATGCTGGAGGGCTTTTCTTGCCGTGGTGACC